AGTTGATGTCTGCTGGTCAATCATGCTCTGATCAAAATGCTATCTATAAAATTTAGCGGCAATACGACCAATCTTCTTCTTCTCTAATGTGAGAATGTATGGATAACACAATATATAATTTGTGAATTGTTTCATGTAATTGTTTCATGTAAAAAGCGTCAAGGAAACACACTCACGAAGACTTTGGCCTCGTAGTACTTTTCCCTTGTTTAGTTTTTGTTTTGAGCATACAAACACATTCTAGATGTCAATTTGCTAGATCATACAATCAAAAGCCATGAACTACATCTTTTTTGTTTTTTTGTATGTTTTCCTATTGCTATTGTTTGCTCGAGGCCGTTATTAGTTGGGTAATTGTTGGCATAGTAAAATACTATACAAAATTACAAAACAAGTTTTTGGGATGTGTGATGTGTGTGACACATCAAGTATCTAGTGATCAAATTCCATAATAGATAAGACATCCAAATCCAAACAAGGAGAAAGCAATCGAATACTTCTCCTTCTAATTATTTTAAATTATCTCGAAAGAAATCTAAGTTCTTATCAACATAAAAGCATTAAATCCATAGCAGTGTATGGTGAAAACCAAAAAAAAAATATAACAAAGTACCTCTGAGCTCACATCCTCATTGAGTAACTTTCTCTTCTTCGGCTCCTCTCTCCACATTTTGGGATTTGCGTTCCTAAAACCAATTCTCACATTAGTTTGAGTGATATTATGATGAGATGGATATCACAATCGTTAATTCAGAATCTTACTTTGTATAGACCATTAAACAGCACGAATTATATCCGACGAAGCTAAGAAGCAAATCTTGTGAGCTAGAATTGTTTATATATATGTCATACTCAGTTAAAAAAAGTGTTGTTACTGGTATATTTAATCAAAACTGAAATGGGGTTAAATGTTATACCATCGATTAGAAATGTGAGATTAGACAAAGTAGGGATGTTGTCGAATACCTCACCTAAAAATACCTTCAGTATTACAATCAATGACAATCAAGATCTCAAAGCACTAATGATTTCGATACTTCAATTAAGAAATGAGGTTTTTTTTACACGTTGGGTGGGTGAGGAAGGAGCTGAATCCTCTAGTGCAAAGGATGTAGCTTTTTAGCTAATTCGAATAAAGCGCTTGAATCATATTTCTGCTGCTTTGACTCTTGCACATCTTTGTGACCCTAAACATGGAAAATTCATTTTCATTGATAACAATGGTAATCATCTCAATTCATAATTTTATAAAGAAACTTATTTTGTTGGTTTAATGTTCCTGATCAATAGAGTTATTACAAAATGCAGAGATATAGTTTTTATTGGAGCTTCTACATTTTTCATTAGATATAATAATTGGTTTAGTACTTGAGATAACAGTTTGGCATCAGAAGACTAAAAGCAAGGCCATACATAAGTACAAATCAAACAGAAATAGGTACTCACATGTCGTCCATGAATCTTCTTTCTTGCCTCTTTAATGTCCTTACCACACAATCCTTAGTCGGCTGCAAATAGAACAAATGCATCAGAATTTGAGAATCCAATAGATTGGTGTAGAAAACATAAGCAGGTGAATGCATACTTGAACGGTGAAGTTGTTGTCTTGAAGCTTTTGAATACCTCCAGCCTCTCTGAAATCTACTACGTTTTCCTGTTTTACAGAAACATTAAGTAAGCACACTCATGGTATGTATAGAGACTGTAGTTTTATTGCAAATTATTCACTGTGAATTTGTGAGTCTGGTTTACCTCATTATCGCCAAGGCCATACAAAGCAAAGGCAGCATTGCGTTGCACAAACCCAATATTTCACATCAAGAAGATTTAAAAGTGAAACTATGCGTCCTCTATGTCCAATGCCAGCTTGATTGTGTGTGTCCTGCAACATTCAAAACTGTTGTATGTGTGATTTAACGATAATCTATACTGAGCCAGATTCCACAAGCAAATTTATTTAATCACTTCATAAACAATTTCATAATTTCGTAGACGAAGAACTTCGATTTGATCAATGTAATCGAAGTGTGTAAGAGTTTGGTAGAGATCAAAACAGGCAAAACTGATCAGATTCCTGTCGGGAAAATCTTGCCAATATCCAAGCGTCTATCTTATTCCTCGTGATCGTAGACGAAGAACAGAGATGTGATTTGAGATTTGGGGTATTCTGGACTGAGACGGCCGATGTTGTGATCGAGCGAGAGAAGATCGTCAATTTTTTAACCGCAGAAGAACCAATAATCGGAGAAAACGTTTGGGATTTTTGTAAGGACATGTGTCGATCAATGAGGCCACCCACGTGTCCATCTCTAGAGTGGAGAGTGCTGGCCTCTTTTTATATTATTAGATTAGATTAGTGAAGTACATGCACGGAAAGCAGCATTTTTAGTAACCATCCTTGCCTCCTAGTCTCACAACTTGTATCATTACTATCATTGTAAGAACACATCTTCTTCTCAAAATTTGATGAGCATTTTATTGTCAAGCAGAAGCTTTGGGCGGCTCGAGTTGATCAAACCAAGAAAAGTCAAGAAAAGGATTTTTCGAAGAGGAGAGTTGTACAAGAGGATCGCTTGTTCGATAACAAGAAGAAGCTGAAGGCTTGAATCATGCATGGGGTGTTGTTTCTTTTTTTTTTTTAAGTGAATGGTTTGTTCTGGTTTGTTCTATTACTATGCATGGCCCATGGGGTGTTGTTTCTTTTTTTTACTTTCCGGTTTTTGAATTTGTCTTCTTTTTATTTCATGTGAGAAATGTACGTGTGGATCAATGATTTTTTTATTCTTTATCAAACTTTTAGTTTTGTAAATTAAGCTCTGATTATATTATTAAATAACTGCATGAACTGTTGATCTGG